CCCTCTCCGGCCCAGCCGCTCTTCCACTCCCCCTTAATCTGCTCAGACCCGGCTCCGTTAAACTTCTTAGGTTCTCCTCTGGAGCCGGGTTAGGTAGGCCCCTAGAGATAAATCTTACAGAAACTGAACGTCCGAAGAGCCGCCACGCCCGGAGCCACTCACACGACAGGTGCCCACACGGCGCACGGACAAGCCGGTGGGTCTATACACACGTGAGCGCCCGGACGCAACATCACCGGCCAGATTTATGCCTCAAAGTGTGTCACTGGGCTGGCACAGAGGCCGGGCCTGCCTACTACTCCTCCCCCGGCTTCTCGGCGCACACTCCCCCTGCCCTGTGGCTTTCCGAAGGCGCTCAGAAGTGTAACCGGCGGCACCCGGACTCCCGGCAGCCCCGCCCCGCCCTGCCGGGCGGATTTGCCGGGCTACGCGGCGCGTGATTGGCCGCTGGCGGAGCGCGCTCCGATTGGCCGGCGCCCTCCCGGGCTGCCCCTTCGAGCGCTCCCACCCCTCGGCCGCCCAGTCTCCTCCCTCCGTTACTCCCGCCTGGGTGAAGGGCGGTAGGCACCGCTGCGGGGATCGCAGAGCGGGGGAACTTGCTGGCGGGGGCCAGTCCTGGGACCTCAGACGGGCCCTTCCTCCGGCCTTCCACGCAGCCAGCACTCAGATGTTGAACACGGCCACAGATATTTCTTTCCTTGCGTCTTTCCCCTACACACACACACACACACACACACACACAATGACAATCACATAGAATGTATTACATTTTCAATAGACCACAGAGGCAGCAGAAATAGGCGGAGTAAGGAGGCCGAGGAACGTGCAATATCTCATATTTGGATGACAACCTCAAGGATGGTTTGTTTCAACTGTTACATAATGGAGATTTACTTACACACCACTTAGCCCCATTTTACAGAGGGAATAATGATAACATGTTTGTATTACTCGGGTATTTGGAACCTTCCTCCAAATTCTTTGTCCCCTTTGCTCTTCACAGGACCCCCATAGGGCAGGGTGAGTTTTTGTTTTTGCGGGTAGGATGCCCTTTTCACAGATGAAATGGAAGTCCTGGGGCATTCAGAGAGCCGTTGGCACTATTGGGAAATATTTTAAAAGAAACCCTCAAGTCCCGGGCCTTGTAGGCACACAAACTCATTCACCTGCTTTCTGCAATATTCCCTACTCCTTCAAATGGTACTTTTTCATGGTGGTATACTATAGGGTCTCTAATGATATGAGAACTTTGCACATCAATAATCACAGAAACATCTTGGCCCAGAGGCACAATAAGAAAAACAACCTGGGCTTTGATAGTGGGGCCCTGGAGGGCTTCAGGTCAGGCAGCTCCTGGGTGAGTCAGGAGGGGCTTATTTGAAAAGCAAGCAGCAGGCTTTGCCAAGAGAAAACTGAATGCTGACAACTAATCACTGAATGGCCCACTTCAACTCCAAGGTAACTCAACAGCCCAAGGCCTGCGCCTCAGCCACCTTTCAGTACACACAACTCCTCCTGCATCTTGCCCCCTTTTGACTCTTACTAAAATTTCTTCTTCCAGGCTATTCTTAACATTCATTTGAGTCTGCTTTTCAGCCCTTTGAGCTGCATAGTATTACGGGAAGGTTTTTTTGTTTGTTTTGTCTTGTCTTGTTTTGTTTTGTTTTCTAGAGGAGTATCCCTTGGTTAATAAAAAGGAAGTGTACACTATTTATCATGTATCTTCTGGTGTTTAAAGGACACTTCAATATAGTGCTCTTTTTTTAAAGTACACCACAGGATATTGAGAATATGTTGTGTGTTTGAGTTCACATTTTTTTATTCTTCATAGAAAAATCGCTCTGTAAAGGCATATCCCAACATTTACTTTTGAAAAGTCACCTTTCTGGGCTTTCCTTGAGCTTAAAACCTTTTTTTGAATATTCCTAAATGCAAAACTTTATGTAAGTTAGCTAAGGCAAGCAAAATGTGTTCTTTAAGCTCTATTGTGGAATGCCAATTTCAACGCCTTTTTCCCCCTTGATTTCTTTAGCTCTTAATGGAAGGAGTGAGCATATTAAGAAAGCATTAAAGGGGGGCCTGGTCAGTTAAGCATCCAACTCTTGGGGTCATGATCTCAAGGTTCTGAGATCGAGCCCCGCCTCAACCCAGAGTCTGCTTAAGACTCTCTCTCCCTCTGCCCCTCTCCTTCCAATAAATAAATCTTTTTAAAAAAGAAAGCATTACACTTTAGATTTAGAGACATTACTGTGTGAGAACTCAGAAACAAGAGAAATGGAATCACTTAAGACTAGAGGTTTTGTATCTCCATGAAATTGGCAGCTTTTTTGATCACAACTACTTGACTTCGCCAGGAAAACAGTTCAAAAGAAGGCAACACTCTTCTTCGTATATTCTTGAGTCATTCTGGAAGAAATCTTGGAGATGAAATCACAGCATGTAGTGTGGTTCTTGGCATATAGCAGGTGCTCAATAAATGTTTGTTAGAAGGAGACAGATGCTTGGTAAAACATGCTCTGTGGGGTTCTAGGGAATGTCTTAGAGTACTGTTTTTCAAACATTAATGTGTAAATCCATCATATTTGGGTTGCATTGTTCTGAGATGGGCTCAGATTCTGCATTCCTAAATTTCTAGCTATGCTGGTTCAGACCACACTTGTAGGTAGCAGTGCTTTAGAAAACAGGCTAAAATCTCAGCTAAGAATCTGTAAGTATAAAAGAATAATTTTTCTTTCATATAATGTAATGGAAACTAAATTATCAGTGGGATTTTTATACTATGCGACAGATAATTTAGGGAAAAATAATTTTAAAGTAAAGGTAATATTTAGGATTTGGTTAGGCAATATTTTCTCACATGCTGTATTATGAAAGTTACTAAAGGTTGGGGGCCTACATTAACAGAAGGAGTAGGATAGTAATTACAATGTAATGGAATGCTTATCATAGGCCAATCGTTCTGCTAGGTGCTAGGAATGGAGGAAAAGTTAAGTGAAAGTTGGCATCTGAGGAACCTCTGCTAGTATACAATTCAGGAGAAAAGAGTGAAATATGTGAATTACACATTGCGATGTGAAGTGGAACGAAGGGATAATAGAGACATGTAGAGATGGACAAAGAGGTACACATTTTGATGGGGGTGGGGAGGGCCAAGGGACACATTGAATGCATCAGAAGAGGCATTCAAGCCCAGACTGGAATTCTGAAAAATGTTTCTGCAAGGGGAAACTGGGCAGAGGGTTTTGGCATGAGAAAGGCATGTACCGTGGAGAAAATATCAGCAGCAAAGCTGTGACTGTGAGTGGGAGATGGGAAACACAGAAAATCCACTAGAGTGGCAGCACAAGGTGAGAAATGGGAGTCATTCATTCTCGCTGAACCCACACAAGAGCCCAGGGAGTTCGGTCCTATCACTATCCCCACTTTAGAAAGGACACTAAAGCTTAGATAGGGCACAGTACTGCCTCAGATCTCACAGCTAGTTAGTGGCAAAGCTGTGACCCCAAGTCTCTTGATCATCATGCCAGTGGCTTCCCACTAGATGTTACCTGTTCGTATTGTAAACCTGGAAGACGCTGTTTATGACCAAAGTATATTCAAGAGTTTGAACCTTTTTTTCCCCCTATAGACAAAACAGGCCATTAGAGTTTTTTGAGAAGAGGAGTAAAATGACTCATATTGTACTTTAGGAAGATAAGTCTGGCATAATGAAGAACGGTTGGAGAAATGTAGTCTTTCAAGGAAATCACTGAACTCAGTTATCTAAGCAAGAAAAAGGTAAGAGAACATGGGGAAGCTCTAGCACACAGAGACTAAATGCATGGACTTTCTTAATTATGATGGTTGCCTCCCCATCCCCGCTTCTCACCTCCAAGGACCTCGAATTTGAGGGCCCGAGTGGACAGTCTGACTAGCTCTGAAATTATTTTTTTTATCACTTGAAAGTCTCATTAAATTGTTCATCTATTTCTTATTATATACAACCAAACCTATTTCTAGGAGTATATCTACAAATCAGTTTTCTTTTCTGGAAATTTTTCTCTATTACTTGATCAAGGACCCCACTGAATTCCTGAGCAGGTGACCCCCTCTTTCGGAGTCTACATTAGATTTTGGAAGTGCCTGGGAAGGTTCATGATCTTTGGAATCGTGTCATAAACGACTAGTGAGGTCCCAGAGCAAGCACCCCAAAGAGCTTGCCATTTGGCATGTCTGGTTGGTGGGGCTAGATGGCCTGGATTTTTACTTGATTGAAGACAACCTAAGAACCACGGGGGAAATACACTGACTTAATGACACTGCGGCCCCCAAATCCAAGACCCTGTGCTGTCTTATCTCCCAGTCTGTGTGCTAAATGGGAAAGGAACAGATCTCAAAGAGAATCAGAGTCCAGGCACTTGTTTGGTCGGGGACATTGCCTGGAGGAGAATGAGGCAATAGGATGCTTTAAGTCCCACAGTCACATTTTTTTCCTCCCGGCTGGAGGGTATGGGAGGGTGAAGGACTGAAATGAGGAGCCAGGTAAGTACAAGATCCGAATATAGGCTTTGTTTTGTGTCTCACGTCAGCCGAGTTTATCCCTAGTCATTCCCGACCTTCTTTCCCCAATTCAAGCCAGAAAATTATGCGATAAGGATCCGAGTAGGATGGAGAAATGTCACCAACATGGGTGGTGCTGGGGACATGATGGCAGCAATTACCTCCAGGAAGAGTGACAGTACTGTAGGCACTCGAGACATTCAGGAGGCTGCAAGGAAAGGGAGGGAAACAAGCACGCTGCCTTGTGA